ATATATATATATGTATATATATATATATATATACCTAAATCACTAAAACTGTCCCACGCTAATTCTCACAAGCTATAACATCTACTTTTTTCATATAGGTATGCTTGGAATAGTATATATAGGTATAAGATTTCTACTCGTCAGCTATACGATCGATAACCATCTAACCATCTAACGCGAAAGCACGAGTTTGGACAAAGAGATAACAAATTTAAAAAGTAAACTTGTTAGTGTAGGCGTGGTTTTGTCTTGTGGTTGTGAAAAATAAAATGCATCTTTTATCGCAATTGTATAAATTTCGCGCGCATTAGCGAATATGAATCTTATATAACTTGACTCAATTTAACACATCCGTAGGATATTCTGGACATTCGATCTTTGAAAATATTCTATATTAACTTCCCAATTCAAATTTTTCAAATATCTATTTTCTTTGTTTTTGTTCTTACAAATTCTCATCGAAAACGTCTCAAGCGACGTCACTTTAGATTTCTTCTTGCAGTTTTATAATTATGAAATAAGAATTGCGCGCATATGGTAATTTGACATAACAAATATTGTTACCAAAAAATAACTATCGGTGTGTGTGTGCGCGCGCGCGCGCGCGCGCGTGTGTGTGTGTGTGTGTGTGTGTGTGTTGTACGCGTACAATTTTTGCGATAGCAAGTAAAGGATTAACAAATGCTTAAATGCAATTGTTGTTCAACTTATTCAGGTCTTTGAATCGAGTTTGTGTACGCGCGATATTTTATCGTGGTAATTTTACAATAATTTTTGTATTATGTATATTCGATAACAATAAAGAATAAAATGAATTTAAATACATGAATATAAATACATGATTCTGGACAGAAAAACAGTCTATTTGTATTTTGACTGCCAAATGCTGTTCAATTGTAAGATTTTTGATTGAAAGTTGTCGATTATAAAATAAAAGGAAAGAGTGCATAAAAAAAGTATTAAGTATCGCGCCGACCTTGAAGAGGTCTTTGTCGACGTAAATGCATCAGTATTCTACATCCTCTTCCCTCGCAAACGTTGTTTGAATATAAAAGATAGTTCTCCGACCATCCACTGCTGCTTTTTACAATGTGCTTTTTCCGTGTGTAATCTCATAACAGCCTTTATGCTTTATAAAAGTGGCATAAGAAAAAAATAATAGTTTTAATGAGAAATTGACAATATGTGTATATACATATACAAGTTGACGATTAAAAAATACACGATTATGTTATTTTTACAAAATTGTAAAAATTCACTCCATTTTTATAATAAATGTGTTCAATCGTTAAATCGACGTGTTAACTGTCCTCATTGAATGATGTTATAGTAATATCGAATCAAAGTATAAATAATAGTAGATAATAATTGAAACGCACGACATTTATCAGAGAAATCTCGTGATTTTTTCTATTTGCTGCTTCGATACATTGTATTGCATCAATAGGAAAGCAACTGATTTGACTGATTTGTGCGATTGCAGAATAATTTGGTAGCTTTTGATATTGTAAAATATTATTCTATTCCTTAAGTTTTTAGCATCGAGCTTGCCTGAGAGGAGATTGAAATTGATTAATATTGGTGTTAAGCTTAATGCTCGCAAAATAGTCAAAATTCGAATAATAATGTTTAATCTGTGAACACATTGCAAGATTGGTAAATAATGAAAGCGTATGATTCATAAAAAAGATCTTAAATGTCGCTGATTCAGCAGGTACGGAAGTAAAATAGTTCAGTTTTCAAGTAATGCACGCGCGATTGAAGTCTATACGTCACATGAGTCATCGCGGTGTAAACGACATAAATGCGAATTTTTCTTATTTTTTATCGATAAGCCAGCGTTTCGAATTTCAACATCGTGTCAATGTCAATTGATGCTAATGCGTCAAAAAGCCGGTGCATGCCGTTGTAAATAATTTTAGAACTGCGTTTTACTGAAAAAAAAAAAAAAAAAAAAAAAAAAGGAAACTCTCTGAGGACTTGGAGCAATGCGATATCGAGATACATGTTTATATGACAGAACATTTTTAAGAGACAGACGTGTAAACGAATTAAGATTAACAGTTAAGCACGATACGAGTTGTAACGGGAATAATTTTTCGAGCAACCATTAGTAGCGTGTATTATATTATATAACGAACGACGCACGTGCGGATTCCACGTGTCGAGTTACGTAAACCACGCGAACGCATTCGCGGAAATAGAAATAGCGGTTTCGTCGAGAAATCAGACAGTCACTTTGACATATGATGGTTATATTAACGTATTATATCAGTACATTATTTCAAGTCAGTACAAGTGATTAATTTGAAAATATTCAATTTTCATTTTCTTATTTTTTATCAATAAAACGTTTCGAGTTTCAAACATGTCAGTTAATGCTGTAATGCGTAAAAAAGCCGATGCAGTTGTCAATTTTAGAAGTTTATATATCTAGTTATTATCTCTTAAATTTAGCCGATAATTTTTTGCTCAGCGGTTCGGTAAAATATAAATATTATATGATACTTTTCATTATTTTCCGAGTAAATTTTTCAGTGTACCTTTCTACGATTGTTTTGAAGTATATTATCTAACGATGTCAATCGATTCATTTTACTTGTGAGAAAGAACAAGTTTTATTATAGCTATATGTATGTGACTGTTAGTGATGGCGCGTGTCCTATCACAGATACCTATATCCGAATATATCGAGTTTATCGCTCGACGCTAATCGCTAGCGTATCATTCGTGCTTGAGAACAAATAAAAACGATTTGTGCAAGAACCGCATCTTTGTTTTCTTGCGTTGAAAACTATCGAAATACCGCGCCGAGCGAAGAGCTACATATTTGACTCGCGAAAATATCATTATCATATTAAATTCAAGCCCAAGCCTTTGATTACGATTGAAAATTCTGTCCCCCCTGTTTGCTATGGATTTACAGGTAGAATATTATTGTACAATAGCAATTTATTGCTATTTGTATATTCAATATATAGCGAAAGAAGGTAAACTTCAACTTCAACGATACAAAACTGTAAATGTGAATCCTTAATTTACGAAGCGAAAATTATCTTTCTATACGACCGAGTAGAGTGAGGAAGCTGGAATGCCAAACAGACGTCGGTAGCTTAAAAGAACATACGTAAAAGAGCAAGCGATCGCTAGATCAAGCGCGATGATGAGAATATCTACGATCGAATCGTTATTATTCCGATGACGGCTAACTGGCCCGTGTTCAGACTGTGAATCCGATGATGATCGTGATGACAAAGACCAATATACGCGATCTTTGCATAGCGTATTTCCGTGTTGAGGAACATACATTATTTACAATTTCCTAGTATAATTTAACGAGAGAGAGAGAGAGAGAGAGAGAGAGAGAAATATATGTAAGCGCGCGATTCGATGACTTGGTAACTTGCCGCTTGAGAGGAAACTAGAGCGTCAAGTTGTTGGATTATTAGCAAAAAGGAAAAAAAAAGGAAATTTTGATAATAAATTTTCTCATATTGCCTTGCGATCCTTGAAGCGATAGAAGACATTGAAAAGAATGATAAAACTCTTTTGTTTCAAGTGCGTCAAGTCTCATTTACTATCGAGATAATTTTTGCAGACACACGTGGCGATATATTTTTTTCTATTTAATATGCATACTCACCGACACAGTAATTACTGTTTGACATTGCAAATGACTTTTCTACGATCGTGTAAACAAGTATATCGTGCGACGACGCGTAGCGCAATAGTATATGAATTATTAAACGTTGTTATCTTTTTACATATAAAAGTTAAGGTCTTGGCTTTCCATAACAAATATACAATATGCATATATCTGGATTAATTATAAAATCAATCCGAATCTATGCTATAAGTCCAAGTCATGATTATTCGCTCATATCAATTAATCTATATATATTGTTAAATTGAGAAAGAGAATAAGTAAATGTAAGGTGCCGCGTTTCTTATATCTGTTTAAGAACATACCAGATAACACAGAATGATTTTTTCGGCCGTGCGTTTACCTAAACCGATAATTAAGTTCGTTATCGCTCCAAATATTTGTGGTTAAAAGTCTTAATAAAGAGCTCGCTATACGTCTACATACATATTATATACGCGTAGATGTACAGACTGGTGTAGCATTTGGACTTTTTGCGTGACAATGTATAAATAAAAAATAAAATGCTCCAAAATGCTCGAGTCACCGTGTTGTAGTATCAAATAATCGAAAGACAAACATTGCACATTGCTAAGATAATTTGGGGGTGCCCGATGTAATTATACATATCAGTGTTTAGAGATAAATGTTTTTCCTTGGAATGTTATTCGCGCTGTTCTAACGTGAACACATATAATATGTGCGGTACGTACAATCTTGCATTACTCATTTGTGACGCATCGTAAGGATTACACAGCTCCAGACCTTCCCATTCCTTTCTTTTTTCCAAATATCGGCGCGCAAACTCGAACATCGTACGATAAACTTGTTGTATGATGTACATAATTTGTACCAACAGTGAATCAACTATATTTAATCTCCATAGTTGATCTCAAAAAAAAAAAAGATATACATATGTACATATGTGTATATACGTATTAGAAAAATATTTTAATTTTCTTACCGCGGCAGTGGTGTCGCTGATGACGATGTCAGTCGGAGCCGCTTCCGAATTCGCGTACAAAATGAGGAGCGCTATCGCTATCAGGTAGATGTTGGCTCTTTGTTGTCGTGAAGAGATCTTGGTACACTTCGTCATATTTTCGACGTGCGACGCGCTTGCTTCCAATTCAACTCGTGCACCTTCTTTGCGGAGGAATTGACCTAACCACCGTGACTTTTTCGTGCGTCGATATCGATTTCTTTGACACCGTTACTCCCCCCGAAGAACACTGAATACACACGTTACGCGTGCTTCCTAAACGCGTGCCTCGTTGTAACTGTTGTTAAGAATCGTAATGTCGCGTCAGACAATGTCAGATGACGATAGGTACTTTCGTGATTTCAATTATCCTCTGATTTAAGTAAATCGTCGCGTATGCAAGCTATCTCGAGCTCTCGTCTCGTCGATTAATTCTACTCTACGCGAAAGACACGAGCTCTCTATAGACATCAACCGTTTCCACTGTACTCAACTCGACAGAGTACCACTTGGCAGGGTAGTGGTCTTAAACGTGGTTGCCACAACACTATCGATCTCGTGTTTTCCTCGCTGATGGTTCGCCTCTTTCGTTTGCTTGTTGGGGACGTAACTCCTTGGCGTATTCACGTGTACGCGTCTTACGTGCACCTCGTTCGATTTTCAGTCCGAGACAGAGACTTCCCTCTTCGCGCGGTGATTTGCAGAGATGGTTTGTTTCGATGAACTCGAAATCGAGGAACGAAGGAAGACGAAGAAATAATAAGGAGCGAGAAATCAATAGTAAAGTTGGAGAGTGAGTTAGAATGAACAATAGGGCCTGGTGATCCACGTCAAAGGACAGAGGAGAGCCGATGAAAAACGCGCGGGTACGCGACGCCGCTCTCTAGTCGGAGTACGCCGCTACTCTGACTCGTAATCAGTCTGCCACTGACTTTTATCGAGATCTCCCACCCATAGCCACGATGGCCACCAATCGCGCACTACGGCGCTTTTACACGTGCAGGTACATATTGCAGCGCTATATTGCCTTCACATGCGCGATAGTTAGTCAGATCTCGGATGTAAAAGATAATTTTACATTTCGACTTCCCCTAATAATATCCCCTAATCTCATCCTGCAGAAGAAAAATTCGCCCCCAAGAGAAATCGTCTCTTATTATTAATGCCATGTAACACTCAAAACATCTTGTGATTGCATTTTTCGCACTTTTTTACTCAAAATTACGCGAAAGATGTCTCTAACTCTGGTATTAATCACATACCTCTCGCTGGTCCATTTTTAGTTTTCGATGAAATGATTGTGATAAGTAACAAGTTGCAAAATGTTTACGAAACGATAAGATACTATATATACTCACTAGTGTTATACTCTTCTCACATTTTTTTCCTTCGTCATAAGGGGGACAAAGTGAAGCATGCACGATTCACAGTGAATAATGGAGTCGGTATCTCGCTCTCTGCGTGATATTCCGTGATAATATATTTAAACATTAGGATGCTCTTTTTAACGTGAATGGATAAAGGAAATTATATTCCAAGAAGTTGCGTGGGTAACTATTATACGTGACTCATTCAGGTTTTAGGCTGCTTTCCATTCCCAAGAATTCTTTTAGTGATGCCGACGACCGCAGACTCGGTCCCGAGTCGATTAATGCATGAATTTCACATGTAGATAAACCCTCGCGCGCTAACAATAAGATTTAAGTAATTTTTCAATGTCTTGTTTGCATTAACTTTAACATTCGAAATTTTAAGATATTTTAAAATGTTTATTGTATGCGCGCGAGAAAGAAGCTCTTTATGTAAATTAATATATGTAATAAGATTTTGCACTAATAGAAATGTCGATAAAATTAGTCATGGACAAACGATGTCCACATTCATCATAATCAATTACATAATGTTATTTTTTAAATAGATAAAAACTCTGCTCTCTCTCTATCTATCAATCGAACGGGGTCCAGCGTCACACGCTGTAGCTGCAGTAAAATGTTTTCCCTCTTATAGTTACTGCACCGGTATTACAAAGGATATTTATGTATATTATTAACTGAAAAGATGCGAGTCTCGTGAAGACGAAACTGGAATGCAAATAACTGAATACATTGTACGAATGAGTAAGCATCAGACCTTTTTGGTGCGCACCATTGCCGTTCTGCATTTCATCTCTCAATGAATAAAGAGTTATCATTCCTTTTTTTCTTCGATTCTTCTTTCTTCCGATTTAATTTCAGTTCAGAAAATCTCTGATTTCTTTCTCTCCGATTTCAGCTATATCTCTCACCATTGCCATCTCAAAATCTTTTATCAATTCCGTAAATTCGTCTTTACGCCAACGAAAGACTTTTTATTCTTTTCATTCTGCGTGAACGTGATTGTCATGAGAATACTTTTCAACGCGCAAACAATTCTCAAACTCTCAACAATTTTATTTTTGGATTTTATTTGAAAACAACAAATATGCATATACATATGTTAGAAAAGTCCTTCGCAAAATTTCATTTTTATCTTACAATTAGCAAAGAATAATATATGCGTCTTTATATGTATAATATGATGTCTTTAGTATCTTTTAGTACTATATTAAGAGATGATGATATATAATTCATAAATAAAATAGAAAAATACATGAGTTTGGAATCTACATTTGCATCAATTCATTCGTTCGATCTTATAACCGTTTAAATAAAGCCAATTTCGATTCGTAAATCTATTTGGAATTCTCTGAAATCGTCGACTTTAATAAAAATATTACATATATAGGATATCTCAATTATTCGTAAAGAAGAGCTTTATTCTGGAACTTAATTTTCTTACAAAGTCATCACACAAGCGTACATTAATTAGATGACCTATGTATGTATACGTTATATGTATATCACTTCACACAGATGTATATATACTATATATAGTTATTCAAAATTTGTTTTATACGAATGTTATTACAACGCGAAATACTACTTGTATCTTAATATTTGGTATATCATATGTTAAATACAAAACTTTATTGGTGTGTATTTGTATATATATGTATAAAAGATATGTATTAATAAAAGCTCTTTTGTCCGTGAGGTAGTTAACCCCCTGAAGCAGGGCAATGATACCTGCTTTTTAATAGAGAAGAAATGAGGATAGGTCGACGAAGACATCAGCTCGAGACGATCGCATCCTTTGCCGCGCCCAAAAATTATATATCGCTTGCACTAATTCTCATTTCTCTCTCTCTCTCTCTCTTTTCTCCCCCTCCCTCGCTTTCTTTTGTCAAGCTGTGTACGCTGCGTTATAATCCTAATCGTTTATCAATCCAGCCGGTCCGATCCCTTCGGTCATTCTTCTTCAACTTGAACTCACCTAGTCAAGGTCATCGTCGCGTCACATTCGACCATTTTATTTTTAATTGTGAAAATTAGCAGAATAATTGCGTCGAGTACAATTAAAAAATAGAATTGTAGATATCTCTGATGCGTATTTTTTTTAAATTTATAGATTCAATTTTGTCTCGTTGAATAATTCCTATCGGGTCTTTTTTTTCCAGTTCCTAGAGAATTATTTATGGAGATCGATTATTTGTATATCTTCGATTGGCAACAAGATTAGTTTTGCATTGCCATTTCATAACCGACTCGTTGATTATTCATTCATAACATTTTATCTTAATGTGTTTTGCAAATTTTATCGTGATGTAATATTATTGAAGAGAGGAAACAAAATCAAAAAGTTACTATTTTGCCGATTTTGCGTTATACGAACTAGGACAATGTTTGCGTTGGTTTGAAGAAATGTATAAAAACAATCCAATAATAAGATCTACGTGATGAGATCTTTTTTTCTCCAAATAACAGGAAGAGTATGTTGGACGGATTATGTGTATACGAGAGCCGCAGGCTGCGGAATTAACCACGGTATATTATTAATGTAAACAACTCATTCGCTGTACGTTTATGAGTGATTCATCGTCGCGCGATTCTTCGTAGAGAAACGAATATCTGCACTCAAAAATGGCATCTACCGTAAAATCACCCACAAGTGATGCTCTCTTATATAAAAATTGATTTATGCTATCAATGAAACTTTAAGTATACCACATGTACGTTCGTGATGAAAAATTCCACGACTCTGATAATCGACAAGGAAATGAATCATCTCCTTGGATTTGCATTTAAAGTTTAGTTGTACCGGGAGAAAAAAAAGCGGCAACAAGTAACGAATGATACTGCATTTTTCTATAACAATTCCGTTGTCAATCGTAACGTTTTCTGTTTCCTGCGTAAAACGCGAAGAAAAGCTTATACAGGACATTGAATATTTCAAAGATTTTTAACCCTTATTTCATCGATATACATCGGAAATATACCCACATTTGTTGCACGATAAATATTGAATTAGGGTGCTTTCATCGTGACCGATGAGTCAGCAAATTGTCCAGCGAGCATTCTCGCGATAAAAACTAATTGATTACAAAAAAGATCTCTAACTATTTTGCTTTTCCTAAAAATCCTTTAATTCTGCAGTGAATATCCTGTAAACGTATAATATAAACAAATTGGAGCAAAAAGTCTTTATACTGTATGTTTATACGAACATGGAAAATTTTTATGTGAAATCGAAAATCACCTTTCTCAGAAAAGGTGAATTTCTCGTTATTGCTCATATCTACTATCGTTTCATCTTCTCGCGTGTATCGGGCTAGATTGTCCTTATTACATCGTTAACATGCAGACTCGCCCTCTAACCGTTGTGATAATAAATCATTTACATGCGAAAATCGTTCGCACGGCGGAATTATGCACATGTAACGTATTTCCCTTTCCCGTTTGATTCACATGCGACACGATGAACCGTCTGAAAGGTCACCGCGCGCGCACCGATGCCAGATAAATCTGCGACGCAGATCTCGATAGAGATGTTTTGCACCATCTTCCTATTAAATAACACAGACAATATATACAATATATATTCTTTAATTCCATCGCGTTCACGCGACGTGATTTAAACGTCCGCGACTTCATATCCGCGTAATCTCCGATCGTGAAGTGAATCATTCAGACTTGCAGGCGAATCAAACGTCAACTTTCCTCGAGATAGAGACTTGTATTAATTTGCGCGAAATACACGAAACCTCAAGGTGTTTAAAATTGTCATTTAATCGTACTTGTGTTACTTTAATCGCGCGGAGAGCAACAAACAAATTTCTACAATGATAACAATTACGAGACTTGAATTTGATTGCGAATAAATTAACATAAGCGTCGCTCTCTCTCTCTCTTGCCCGGATCAATAGGGAATCAACGCGCTGCTTGGAAAAATATAAAATACAATATGTTATATTATATATTTCGAAAAAGCGTGGCATAATCGTACTTCCCTGTATATTTTCATGTATGCACGTATGATCGTTCTTTCGATCGATGTTGTCACGAAAGCATGTGATGCCTGTGTGATAGTTACTCGCGCCTCGCAGATTTATACATACATGGCATATGTACGTAGTCGAATGATGGAAGCCGAAATGACTTTGTGTGTACCTGCAGCTATGAGAAATCAATGTTCATCACTACCGACATTCAATGTTGTGAGAAGGTATGAAGAGAACAAGCTATTCCGTGTCTAGAAAGAAACGGAAGAAACATCTTGTAAACGTCAATAATCACCTTGTCTGATGTGCGACATCTTGGCAAGGCCTCGCTATTTCATATAGTCATATACGGTACGAAATTCTCCCCTCCCCTTTCGTGGGCTCTCGAATTCAACAAAATGCTATTTCTTTCCATTACGACTAGATCGATATATTGACAGAAGCATTGAACGTATCGAGTAATTATATTGAGAGAAAAATGTAACGCGGTCGATTTCACGACGGCTTCATACGACTTTGTCGCAATTATTGTGGCTAGGCTCCAATTGCACGGTTCGTTTCACGAAAATTGT